CGTGTCCCAGGCGTCGGCGCAGGTGAACAAGGTGGTCTCGCACCTGATCAAGGCTATCCGGATCAAGGACAGCAGCTTCGGCTCCATCAAACTGCACAGCGCCGGCAGCTACTACGAGCACGTCAAGGTGAACACATAATCACTGAATGATTATATGGGTGCTTTTATTGAAGAGCTCTGGGAGTCGGGGTACAGACCCAAATCTGACTCCGATATGGATCAGAGATGGATACATTTTATACTCTTCTCTTACATAACCATAGGTTAATCATTACATTACTATTATTCTATTGATTTCACCCAAGCATGGATCCCAGTTGCTTTTGATTATTGTTACAATCCTCCCTAGGCATAACTTCAAGTGCCCTTTGATCGTTGTTATGGTCCCCCCAAACATAGTTTCAAAATCTTATAATAATAATCTATTAATCAAGCAGGTATGTGCAGATGGATATGCAAGTACATACAAGTTCGCATTGCTCTACTAAACATAATACCCAGCTTTGTCACTAAGGTCTACCTTGACTACCACACTTCCAAACATTTTACTCTGTGCTATCAGGTGCGGGTCCCGGCGGGCGGGACGGGCCGACTAGGGACTGTAAGGAGGACTGTGAACTAACCACGAGGCATTACAGAATTGTGACTAACTCGCTGAAAGGTGTGTGTGTGCAGTAAGAGACGCGGCCGGAACGGGACTCCCCTGAAAGCCGCAGCACAGCACGCAGGGGAGCCGCTCGGGTTAGCACTGCACGGAAGTTTATAGTCTTAGTTTACAGTTTTTCCAAAACGCAGGAGCATTTGCAGTACCATTTTTCCTAGTTCCTGTACACCTGAAACAAGATCTAATGTAGATACGTTTTTCCCCCCTGAAACTGGCTTCAGTCATTAGCAACGTTGGTTTTTTCTTCACAGCTATGTGCCAAAGGATAACTGAGTTCGTCATTTTTGCACTACTCAGAACAGCTTAAGAATCTAAACACTTTCCTAAAAATGAATAAGCTGGAAAGGCAGGAAATGAACTGCTCTCAGTAAATTGCTTTTCTCCAGCCAAATGCACATCAGTGTGGTAGTACAAACCCACAGAAACAAGCTCATGTTTCACACCTGACATGAGAAGTACCCCAAGGCAGTGGTAGATAAAAACACAAGTGGTATAAAAGTCTAAAGATAACAAAACCTAAGTTGCATATTGGCTGTTGCATTCTCGTACTTTGCAGATATCTGAACCAAATGAGTTTGACATCATGTTTGTAATGCCTGTTGAAAGGCTTCAGCTGGAGGAGTCTGATGACACTGGAGCCTTTTATTATCTAACATTCAAAAGAAGTCCAAAAGAAAAATATTTGTTGAGGTTTGTAGATGAAGATGGAAAATTATCAGCCTTTAAAATGCTTCAAGCACTGAGAGACATTATTAAACAAGAAGTAAAAAACATTGAAGGTAAGTACCGAGAGAACAAGCTTCATCTAGGGGTGCTAAAAATCCACTTAAATTGCACATATGCATTGACCTGTTCTTAATAAAATCTTTTCTTCCCAGACAACTGTCTCTTTGTGGCAGTGGAGCTGTAACCCCTCCTGCCCCTGGTAGCTCAAGTTTGCTTTTGTGTTAAGAATCACAGATAGATCAGAGCTAATCATGTCATGTGATTAACACCACTAAGCAAACATATTTCCATATGAAAATAACAAATATTAAATCTTCTGTTGCATGCTTGCAACTTCCCACATGACCTGGATGTTTTGCATCTATCTGTCAGCTACAAAGAACCATTTGCTGAACTGGTAGCGAGACAAACTTCCTTTTATACAATACCTAATGCTTTGTATCAATCAATACAGAAAACATAGCCCCTTTTAGGGTTGTGTTTCTCCAAAGCCTTCAGAAACATGGTGGCCAAATCAGTTCACTGTGTGTTTCCAACAGGGAAGCAGTTCATTGGAAAACGTGGTTTATTTCTAGTGCTTAGCCACAGTAAATCAAGCAAACACAGCAGTTCAAGAGCAGTGTCCCTTACTTCATAGAGCTCCTCAACAGGCCTTCTCTGTTTTATTTCACATCCATATCCTGTAGGATAAACAGCCACTGACTGTACCCAGGTACTTCTTTTAACTGATGAGAAATTCTTTAGTAAAAAACCTTAACATTCTCAAAGTGATTTCTTTTAGAGAGATATATATGTATATAACATGAAAAATCTCTCTTTTTTTGTTACTAGATACGGAAGTAACTGTGACAAGAAAAAAGGCTGGAAGCCCTGCAATAACTCTTCAGATCAAAAATCTTCCATCAGATATATCAGTGGACATCATCTTGACTTTGGAGGTTCATCAGGGCTGGCCACCCAGCGCACAGGACGGCCTCAAAATCAAACAGTGGCAGGGAACAAAAGTCAGGGGAATATTCAAAAGAGAATCACTTTATTTAGTGGCCAAGCAAAACAAGAGGGAAAAGGTTCTAAGAGGTACCTCAAATATGGACAATAAGTTTAAGTTATGAAATATCTTCTCTACAACTCAATTGCTTACAAGTGCTTTAGAAAGGGGATCCAGATTGTGTTCAGTATTCTGTCTTTGAGGTACAGATCTTTCTCTCATCCTGGATATATCCACATCAAAGACAACTGCAATCCCTCTTTAAAACATCAGGTTTATGATGCTGCTTGTCCTGTACTGAAATTGAAATACAAACCTGCCCTGCCAGGCTGTACATGAGCCATTCCTAAGAGCACTGTATTAAATCCACCCCAGTCAGACTCATGGGTATGAACCTTCCCTGTGCTAACACTGTACTTGCAGCACTCCTTTGTTCTGTAGGGGAAAAAACATGAATTAAGGTTTCTAAAAGGGCAGGGAACATCCCTGTACCTGGGACTGCATACACAAATTAGACACTTCTGCAGAAAGTAAACTGTATTTTTCTATCAAGATACATTATTTCTCATTGAGCTCTGGCATGGCTACAGGTTTTTTTCCCCTCCAAACCATTGTCATACCACAGCCTACATCACTTTTCAAAAACATCCTGACTTGCCATTGCATTATGAGAACTGATGATTTCAGTAAAAAGATTTCAGGCAATCTAGTGTTTTTTTCATTAGCGTGATCATCTTATCAATGCCAAATAAATCATTACTGCTGTCCTAGCCTATCTCTTCCTGTGAGAATGAAATGCAAAGAGTAACTGAGCCAAACAGGCAAGAGAAACAGTCTAACTCATGCTAGGAAGACAAAAATGACTGAGGGCGTTAAAAGCAGCACATTGAGCTATGTTAGCAATTATCTTCAGAAGCATGGCCAGAAGAACAAAAAAAGGCCTTTAGAACAGTCAACCTTACCTGAGACAAACTCACAAGCCTATTACTTGCACAAACAAAAACCAGAAAACAGTAAGGGTACAGAAATTCAGAGGTAGTAGATTTCTACAAGTAGTGCAGTTCCCCAAATCATGTTCAACAAATTCAGGAAAGCTCAGAAATAAGCTTAATTTTAAAGTAAATCCAGTCATCCTTAGGAATTTAAAGCATCCAAACAATTAACTATGTCCTACATTAATTACATTTCAACTGCCTTTCTGTGGAGTAGCTGGGGAATTAAGAACTAACTGCAGTCACTGATGATCTTTTTTAATAGGTGCAAAGAAAAGTGCTGATCCTTAGTTTTACGTCAATTAAGTGTCTTTTTTTCTAGATACAGACCCTGGTGCTTAGTGCTGTGTCACAATTTAACAGTCTTGTACTCAACTTTAGGGAACACCTGGCGACTCTCCTTCTCTCATGTTGAGAAGGCCATGATGAAGAGCCACGGCGACAAGAAGACGTGTTGTGAAGCTGGGGGACTCAAGTGCTGTAGGTTGGTATTTCACATGGATATTTTACTTGAAGCCTGTGTTAGCCAGGCTTAGCTAACACTGTCTAGCACTGTTTCAGCTTAGCATTGAAGAATTTGGTGTAACTGCTCATAATAGGAATGAAGAACAAGATTTTTAGGCATCCTTGTTCCACAGCAGTACAACACTGCATGCTCTCGTTGAATGTCTGACTTGCATTTATTCCATGAAAAGTGGAAACAATCCCTTGGCTGGTTTACACTCCAGGCTTGCCTTAGAATGCAAAAAGAAGTGACTTGTTAAATAATCTTTCTCAAATTGAGTCCTTTTTAGAAGAACCAGCTTAGAAGTCTGGTGACTCAGCTTTCTGAGCAAATCTATACTTTGCATGAAGGTAGTTTCTAAAAGGATGGTGAGAAAAAAACCCTGCTGAATGTGATCAGGATGAATGAATAATTTGTCACTTCTATAAAAACTGTTTTCCAGATTTCTTCAGAGAGAAAGAACAAAACCCACATGAGGTACAAAACTAATAATATAATAAATAATAACAAACTAACCCAAGAAGATGGTTTGCCTGTTAGATTTGTACTGAATCAAGAAAGTCACAGGAGAACTAATGCATCATTCTTTACGTTTCAGCATCTAAAATACATATTTAAAACTATGCAGAAGATACCTAATAAATTCTTATTTATTTAACAGGAAAAGTTGTCTTAAGCTTCTGAAGCATCTCCTGGCACAACTTAAAATGAAACATCCAAAAGAGTTGGAAAAATTCTGTTCATATCATGTCAAAACTGCTTTTTTCCACTCCTGTGTCTTGTGGCCAGATGATACAGACTGGCAGTTCAGCGACCTGGATCACTGCTTTCAGAAATGCCTGGAATATTTTGTAGATTGCCTGCAAAATTCTCAGCTGCCTCACTTTTTTATTCCCCGATACAACTTGCTCAGCCTGGAAGAAAAAGCGAGCCATCGTTTCCTTTCCAGACAAATAATCCACCAACTGAACAACAGATTCCCAATATTTCAGGAGAGCTACTAAAAACATTGTTTACAATAGCTATTTCATCATTCTGATTTGCATATTTAAACCCAAAAGTTCTGCACCTTAGGTTACTTCAGTAATCTGGTACTTCAGTAGTTTGGTACTACAAAACCACCAAAAAACCCACCCAAAACACACACCCTCCCTCCCAAAAAAATCAAGAACACTAGGAAAGTTGCATACTTCAGTCATGCTGCTTAGCCATAACCCTTAAAAGAAATGGGATGTTTGAAGTACTATTTATCTTCCCTATCCAGATGTAATGTCACCTGCAAAATATCTTCAAGGCATTGTAAGAATGTACAGAAGAATTTGCAATAGTTAATTCCCCACATGGAATTTCTGTGTTTCCAAATACAAAGGCATCAATGACTTCATAAAGAGAAAAATGACAATTTTATTTCAAAATGAAGATCCATTGCAGAATACCCAAAATACATTCTTGCTTTCCAAAGGAAAAAAAGAAAAGTCACTGGAATGACTTTGACATGAACGGGAACAACTTCTCCAGATCACCTGGCTGGGTGAAGACCTTTTGCAGAGGACAATCACCAGCAACCGTGAGCAGCAAGAGAAGAATTATGTATCACAACAATATGAAGTTCCTGAAGTAACTTATCCTTTCTGAGTTGTCAGAATTGCTTTGGAAATTAGTCTTTTCAACAGCCATTGGAAGGGAAACAATCATTACCTAACCGTTTACCCTACTGGGTAAGAGTTACTGTGCCAATGAGCATCTGTATGCTGAATCCTGTAGAAAGAAATGCATCTTTCAACCTGTATCAAAGAGTAAGACTCTTGATATTAAAGATAACCAAAATGCAGCACGAATCTGACACTCTCAAAACTGGAATTCAGCTCAATTTTTCTCATGTTGAAGAAATGTGTTTTAGGAGAAAACAGTTCTATTATTTCCTGTTACTAAAATTGTGTGGATGAGGAATACACAGCGTTTGGAAACTGCTGTGCTGCAGCTTCTTAAAGAAGCCATGGGAAGTTCATACTTTTAGCCTACTTTTTGAAGGCAAAATAACCTACTGGCTTAAATAATGCCCAGGTTCCACCTCAGTGATGAGTAAATAAAGAGGGAAGGCCAGAAGAACATTGAGAGAATAATTCTACTAAAATATTCTCCTTTCACTAAATTCAGTTTATTAGTTTTTCATTTACTCATAGAACACATAAACACACACATATTCAGACCAAGCCTCAAATGAAAGAATAACTCCTTCCCACAGCAATTCCAAGGAGTGAAAACATGCCCCATTATCGTTAGGAGCCTGTGTGACAGAACCTGACATCCAAATGTAAAATGTGAATCAACTTTACCTGGGAGAAATAAAAACTGCCCTTCAAATGTATTCTTAGCTTCGTGACTTTGTTAACATTGCTCTAGTAAACTCTGGTTTCTTCCCTTAAGCCACAATACTACATCCAGGAATAGAAGCTATTTTTTTCCCCAGTTAGCCACAAACATGCACTTCTGGTCCTGCTCTCCTCCAGAAGAAGGAAATGTTGACCTCTCTCCAAAACACCTTGAGACACAAGGCTTAAAAATGCCTTTCCATGTAAAATTTTAAAATAAGAATAAATAAAACTTGGTTCAGCAAACATAAGTCACTGCAGACAGCAGTATTCAAGTAACATTTATCCTTAGAAATACTTCTGCATGGCAGTGGCATATCAAGGCAAAAGCACAGTATTTTGAAGCTACACTGACAAACACTGCTTACAATGACTAATCCAGTTCTCTGAAAAGGGGAAAAAATAATCTTTTTCATTCTTCTGTATTAATAATGCACCTAACTAAACTCTACCCCCGAACCACCAAACACACAATATTTGTTTCTAACCAGTAGATAATGGCTGGAGAAGTTAAGCAATACCTTGTAAAAATAGTGTCCAAGTGCAAAATTACAGTTATTTCTATAAAAAAGCTAATCTAGTTTTCTAACCCAGTTTTTAACTTCTTTTCAAATGGGACAGGTACAGGAAACAAATGAGAATTGAAACTTACAAATTCAAGCCCATAGACCCTCACACTAATGATAATCACTTGTTTTGTTTCAGTAGCTTCAAAGGATTACAGCTATTTTGAGGACTTTCTCCAAGATCTTTGTCCAGACCTTTCCATTTCTTTTCTGATTTGAAAGTTTTTGCATCTTTCTGCCATTGCAATAAGATCATGTGGAACTACCTGATAAGAAAGCAGCAGAAAAACAAAGGTCAGTTTTAAATACATCTCAACTTTCAGACTCTGCTTTACAATCTGAAACATCTCACTAGGTTTGCAATACAGTGGCATAACATCTTTCAAAGAAGAGTTGTAAACCAGAAGATTCAGGTGAAGTTCTAACTCAGGGTTTAAAGTCTGAGCAAGTGTCCATGGCAAGAACCACAGGTCCTGGGGTTTACAATAAATCAAGCAAAATACTGTTTCTTGTTACAGCAAGAAACACCAACACAATTGTATCTGGTTTCTCAGACATCATCTTGATAAAAAAGTATGTGTGTTTCAAGAATGAAATCACATTCCAGTTCTATTTCCTATACCACCTACAAGCATCAAAAAGATAGCTTGGAAGAGTACATGCAAGTATCACAACTGTCAGGTGTGATGAACAGAGCAGCTTCTGACATAAACATGGTTAATATTTACATTGTTAAACAAAAATATTGGTAAATTCATCCAGAAGTGAAATACAAATGGAAAAAAAATAAAATATAAAATAAAATAGATCCTATTATTCCTCTCCAGACCTGTACATGTGTGTACATTAGTTACTTTTATTTGGATGTGGAAGGCTTTGCTTAAAGTTCAGAGTTCTTTCCTGGGACTCATCTGTGAGATAAAATACAGCTAAGGCTATCCAGGACATTTTTCATCCCTGAGACACTACAAACACTCACCAAGAAAGGTCTAAATAGACTTGGACCCTCATGAACAGCATCAGGTGTTCACCCAGAATGAACATAAATCTTAACCAGTAATGTATTCTTACTTGGTTTGTTCTTTCCAGAATTTCAATCAGCTCAGCTGCAACCCTCCAGTCATTCTTGGTGACAAGTGTTACTGCCTCCCCAGTGTGTCTAAACGGGGAATGAAACAACATTTGATCCTCAGAACAACTGCTGACCTGTGCAGTGATGCACTGTGCTACAGGCAGCATTGCTGAGAGGTAAAAGTGCCTTGAGTATTTACTATGCACATGACAGAGAGCAACTTTTCATAAGGATCAGAATATGACAATTCACCTACAATGGAGCAAAGGCACAACTAATTGGGACTTTTAGACAATAAAGACAACATATTTAAGTATGAAGAGACACATGTTCATATCATGATTAAAATAAACACACACACATGAGAAAAGTCAGACTTGTGCCAGCCTGGGAAATCAGCATTCAGAAGTCCTAACATCAAACTGCAACACCACGATAGGCTGAAGACTTTGAATTTATAGGTGTTTTTCCCAATGTGCTCTCTAGGAAACTAAACAACTCAGCAGCTCATGAGGAGCTAAATATTCTGAAATGCTGCTTCCTTGTTTATGCAGACACTGTTTTGAACTGTAATTCTTTCTCACATTTTAACCAGCTTTCATACAGCCTTCATTCTCATCCACTTCAATGGAATTACAGAAAAATGCAAAATTCATCTGACTTAACAGTGAACTAATTCCAAAACATAGAGAAGTGAGTTTCTAAAATGCTTTGACAGACTCTGGAGTTTTCACTCCCCTACCACTTGCAGCTCTAGCACGTGCCATGAGGAACAGTGCATAGAACATGGATAATGTATTTTCTGGTAGGCACTTACCCTGCTCTTCCAGTACGACCTACTCTGTGGACATACTCTTCAATGTTGCGAGGGAAATCAAAGTTGAACACGTGAGTAATATCCTGCACATCAAGGCCACGGGATGCTAAGTCAGTAGCTACCAATATTCTAACTTTGCCTAAAGTAAGTATAACAGAAAGAGAATGGGAATTTATGGAATAAACAAAAAACATACTCCAGTGCATTGGTTTTCTGGCTTGTAATGCACTTATTTGTAACATATAAAGGAAAAATATGCTTGTGGCACGTGAGACTGAGTGGCAAGGTGGTAAGTAAGCACCCAAAATGTCATTTTGCTATTAGTTGTATTTTACAAGTAGAACAGCAGGGTGCAGGAGAAGTAAGAAACATGCCTAGCTGATATAAGGCTGTGGAAAGAACAGAAACTTAAACAACTATATTCTCAGCTGACAATTCTTGTCACAGGCCTAGTCTTTTATTAGCATATGTTCACCTAACTCCAAAGTCTAACCCTACTGGCATAACCTGGAGCAGAACTTTCACTGCAAACACCATCATCCCACACTTAGATTTACCATTCTGCAGACTAACACAATACCAACCTTTCCACAGACATGCCAAAAATAAAATAAGCTTTATTTTAACTTATTCAATTCTTAGGTGTTCCAAATTTTACTGAAGAGCAATTTCTTTGTTTGCTGTTTGTTTGTCAAATTAACAAAGTAAACATACCATTGAGAGCCCTTTAATATTTTCACTTCTATGGTACTGACGAGACGTGGCACTTACAAACAGACAACTATCCAAATACAACAACCTTTAAAAGCCTGGCCCAAATGCTTCAGTACCAACTCACCTTTCTTGAAGTCATCTAAAGCTTGTTCTCGATCATACTGGTCCCTGTCACCATGAAGTGACTGTACTGGAATTCCTTGGAGACCAAAGTCACTCGCTATGTCATCAGCTCTAGGATGAAATAAAGCAATGGTTCTTATAAAGAAAAAACCAACAAAGAGTACAGTATCGACATTTAGATAACAAGAATGGGAACGTGACAACAAAAGTTAAGTGTGTGCCTAAGAACAAAACCCTACCTAGGTCAGCTGATACTGATATTAAAACAGTATGACAGCAAGACTATTCCCCACAGAAATGCTTACCTTTATTTATACACAAGAGAAATATTAGGTTATTT